TCTTGATCTGGCCGAAGTTCGTCGAGCATCGGGGCGACGAAATGGAAAGTCACGTTGGACGCCACTGATGGCGAACATCGTCTCAGCACGTCAACGAGGGCCAGAGAAAATTTCAGTGAAGAAAGATGAGGAAGAAACAAGGCCAGGGATACTGGGCCCTAAAAAACACAATGAAAACAATATGAAGAATCATGCACGTTTTCCAAGGTGCAGCAAAACGTTTTCAAATATAATAGTTTAAAATTACGAAAGGTAAAATTTAAAAGAAATAATTGAAATTTAATCATAAATACTTAAAAATAAAAATACCGTGAAGAAAAACGAATCAGTTGAGAAATATTTCTATAAAATTGAAGTACTTTTACACAATCCTGTATTTTGCTATTTTTTGACTTTGTTGGAACTGCTCAAGATTTATGAAAACCAAACATTGACTCATTCGTTTTCTTAGCAATTTCCCTATTAAAATTTTAAAAATTGTTCATTGCACGGCTTATACCTAAATCTCAATCAAACTTTTTCAAGAACAATGAATCCCGTGTTAGAAAAAAAAAAGCGTTCATAATAACATTTTTCACTCCCCTCATAATCGATCGCGGAAATCGCACTAGATTTTGAGCAGCATCAATTAATTCAAAATTTAAATTCATAATCCTTTATGTTCATGTACCTTAACGGTGTCGGCAATGACGAGTCTGTGTAGGTGTAGTTGATGGCCACACGTTTGTCGGCTAGCTGACGCTTTTTCTCTTCCTCTCCAGTTTTTGTCACAGGGCCGAATTTCTCTTCGACGTAGATTTGTTGCAGGAACTTCTCTTCCGAAACTGCGGAAAATCATAATTTTAAATCAGCGCTTTTACTCGTCGCTTCTCGACAAAAATGTTTTTAACATTTTCTTAAAAGGAATTCTACGAAATCTTTTGCATTCACAAAACACATTTTGCCAGTGGTTTTCAGATAATAATCTGAAAATCTTAAACCTCGCTTGTAAAATAACTTCATGCTGTTTTCGGCCGCTGACTCCAACACAACTATCGAGAAAATCTGAGCAGTTCTTTGGAAACTTGCAGACGATAGATAATGAAGAATGGGTAATTTCAGGAAACTTTAAATCAAAATATCTACTGAAGAACTCGCAGAGTTTCTTTCAACGAAATTGAAATTAACGATGAATTACCGTTAAGAAAATCGTTTTGAACGAGAATCCTGTAGCGCTCGTAGTTGACCTGCGCCAAGGCACTGGGGCTCAAATCAGTGTCGTAAACACCCATCTCAGTAGCTTCGCTTTCATTTTTTCCCACTGCGAATGATTTCGCATCCGGGATAAAATCCAAATGTGCTCTTCCGTCGAAACGATCGATTAGAACTTTTGAATCTCCTTGCCACGGCATCCTTGAAATGGAAAAGCATGAAAATTCAAGTCCACTAGCATTTCTTGAAAAAAAAAAAATCCACATTTAAAATAGAAACAGTATTGGTTTTCATGAAGTCAGAATTCAGCTCGTCAAAAAGCCCGTCACAAGCACGCAAATAAGAAATCCATGGAAGTTCAACACTCGAAATCTCACGTATGAACAGATTAACCAATGTTGAAAAGTCCAGTTAGACTAAAAATCACATGCCCTTGCTCACAAAGAAACCGAAGATGATTTTGACTATTCTATTTCTGAATTTACATTGCAAAAAAAGCCATCGCTTAGTGCCACAAAATGTACCAAGACAAATAATGGCACTAAATCGAGGTTTGGCTGTAGCAAATTCTTCATTCCTGAAAACTTACATTCCCATGCCAGATTCTCCTCCAGCTCCAGAGCTAGAGGCAGGCTCTAGATGCATCTTGCAAGGGCGTCCATGCAGCTGGAGGGATTGCGATGGATCTTGAGTCTGAATTTCAGCACAGAAAAGAACCATGAATCAACATTTGAACTTATTGACGAAAGTTTAATATCCTGTGCTCACGAATTTCTCGTAGAAATCTCGTCTTCTTTCGGCTCGTTTTCGAAAATCCACCAGCATCCCTTTGATTTTCCGCTCCTGCTTCCTCGCCTCCACCCACATCATGATTGTTGATACACCAACAAAATTTACGCCTTTTCACAAAGTCATAACCGTCTACGATGTACATGAAATCCCTCAGCACTCGGAATATGAGAAACAAAATCGAAAAAAAAATAATTTCAACGCTATAAAATTTATTAGGTTTCGATTAGTTCCACAGTGAATAAAAAAACCGCTTTAACAATGTAAGCTGATTGCTCCGAGGTTAAAGTCCGTCAGCAACGACGAGTTGAGTTCGGGTACTNAATAATTTCAACGCTATAAAATTTATTAGGTTTCGATTAGTTCCACAGTGAATAAAAAAACCGCTTTAACAATGTAAGCTGATTGCTCCGAGGTTAAAGTCCGTCAGCAACGACGAGTTGAGTTCGGGTACTTCGCAACCAATTCTTTTTTGAATGCCCGAAATTTTTCCCGATTTCTTTCCTGCTCTTCCGCTTTCGTTGAATGAAAACTGGCCGCCGTTTTGAACCCGTTATGCACGACAAATGCTTTCTTGAACACGAGGAATTCCATTCCGGCAACAAAAGCCTCACATACCTAATGAACGAATAAACGAGAAAACCTACGATCACAATTTATCGACACTACCTTGAAAGTCACCTGTGAACCATGATAGCAAAATGGTCAGTAAATTATTTGGGTTCAGTGATTCATCATCATGGTAATTCACTATCAATTTCAATTTGGATACGAGAGGAACTCCAAGTTCTTCAGTGGAGATTCTGCTCTAGACGTTTCCTGAAATTACCCATTTTTCGTCACCTATCACCAGTAAGTTTCCAAGGAACTGCTTCGATTTTATCAATAGTTGCGTTGGAGATGCCAAAAACTGCATACATTAATTTATCAAGCGAGGTTCAAGGTTTTCAGATTTCATTCGAATATTAACCACAGTACAGTATAAGGTTTATCATATCAAAGAAGAATACGAAAAATTATCTGTATCATTCCCATGAGGATTCTCTACAACCAATTTTTTCTGGTACCCTGAATTTTGTAGTGGAGAGAGTCAACCCGTATAATGAAAAACTTAGCTATACAGGCAACATGATTGTTGTACCGAGATTTTACTGTATTCGAATGACAGGCCTGCCTCACCTGACTGATCCTGTTAAAGCCGTACTGTCGAAACCGCTCATCGTATCTCGGCACAACGTCCACGTGTCCGATGTAAAACGGCTCCCAAGGGTCTTTGTAATGCACAGGAAACACTTCTTCATCATCCTCACTCTTCATCCACTCTTCGTACCCAGTCGGGGACTGGCATTTGGAACAGATCTCCCCGTAAAAAGGCCTCGCTTCACCCAGAGCCCAAGCAGCCAAAAGATCTTCTTTCGTTTTCGGCGGCATCCCTTTGCTTTCAAAGGCTGGCAAAACGTACAATGTCTTCTTCTTCTTTTGCACCCCAGAAGATCTCGAAAAATAGATCCAAGATTCCCTCGCGTCGTCGCTGATCTCCATGTCGGCGTCCATCACTAGGAACATTTCTGTCGTCACTCCGCTCAAGGCGACGTTTCGGAGCAAATTCCCGGGATATTCCACTCCTTTCTGCTCGTAATTGGGCAAAACTTCGTCTGATTTTTGGTCAAAGAGATCACAAGATGAGTAGCACGGCTGTTCTGGCTCTTGATCTGGCCGAAGTTCGTCGAGCATCGGGGCGACGAAATGGAAAGTCACGTTGGACGCCACTGATGGCGAACATCGTCTCAGCACGTCAACGAGGGCCAGAGAAAATTTCAGTGAAGAAAGATTAGGAAGAAACAAGGCCAGGGATACTGGGCCCTGAAAAACACAATGAAAAAAATATGAAGAATCATGCACGTTTTCCAAGGTGCAGCAAAACGTCTTCAAATACAATAGCTTAAAATTACGAAATTTAAAATTTAAAAGAAATCATTGAAATTTAATCATAAATACTTAAAAATAATAATACCGTGAAGAAAAACGAATTAGTTGAGAAACATTCCTATAAAATTGAAGTACTTTTACACAATCCTGTATTTTGCTATTTTTTGACTTTGTTGAAACTGCACAAGATTTATGAAAACCAAACATTGACTCATTCGTTTTCTTGCAATTTCCCTATTAAAATTGAAAAAATTGTTCATTACACGGCTTATACCTAAATTTCAATCAAACTTTTTCAAGAAAAATGAATCCCGTGTTAGAAAAAAAAAGCGTTCATAATAACATTTTTCACTCCCCTCATAATCGATCGCGGAAATCGCACTAGATTTTGAGCAGCATCAATTAATTCAAAATTTAAATTCATAATCCTTTATGTTCATGTACCTTCCAACTATCAGCCAGATCTCGAGCACGACGAACGTGATTCAAACTACATTGTGAAACAAGAGTCACGTCCAAGTCTCTGGCATCCAGTTCCGAGCTGATATCCGAGCCAACAAAGACATTCCGAAGAATGGAGTATTCTCCACTGGTATCCAGGACTGTCCATTCATCATGCCTCTTTTCACTGAATCCCGGAAGCTTTAAAAAAAAGATTCGATAATCTCAAAATTATGCAAAGAAGAACACATTTTAAAAGGTTGAGCAAAAATTGACCGACTTCCAACACGCGATGGCCCTGGCTACATCTGCTGAAGCCACTCAACATTTTTGAATAATGCCTTATTTTCATGTAATCTTATACGAAAATCAGGGGTCAATATCCAAAGAAGAAATCGGCGTCGATTGCGTAAAAAATGAATGATGCCGAAACATCAATTAATTGAAATACGGTACTATGAAAATAATTTAATTAAATTTGGTTAGACGTAATTTTTTTTAAGCAATAGCTAGAAGCATTTAGAAGATCTGAAAGTTGCAAACTTAATCCATTTACTTCCCAGAGGGACTCCAACCTAGTTTTGGGGCCAGATAATTAAAAAAATTGACAATGGAAGCCAGAAATTTATGCAATTTCATCGCATAATTTTTCCAATATGACTTAAAACTCACCGAGGGAATAAATCCGAAACCGTACGAGCAACACGGACTTTTCCCGGAAAGCTGACAGTTCAGACGCGAAAGGAGCGCGAAATGCACAACTTGAAGTGCAGCAATAATCACAATCAGCACCAAGAAAACAGCTCGCAAACCAAACTTGCAGCGTAATCGCATAAGGTACTTGATAAAAAATAAATAGACAAAATTATTAGTCAACAAAAATTCCAGAGACACAAAAAAGGGATCCAATGGTAAAGTTGAATAAAAAACACACTGAAATTTCTTTTCTGCTTTATGCATCTCCACCAGGAAACAGAACGAATGTCAAAAACTGTCAAAAAGCATTCGTTAGCACAATTGTGCGTACCCCATAGTATCACACAGGTTACTTCACAAAAATTCACAAGATTCGAGTGGAGGCATTCGTGTTTAAAGCTACGCATCGGGAGATACGTCACACAAAAAAACTGTTTTCAACATCACACTCTGTTACATTGGGCAGTGACAGATAGGGTCAACATTTAAAAAAAAAGATTCGACATCATATTCACATCAATAAGGTAGCCAAGAAACTTTCTTGGAAAAAATCAGGATGGAAAGAATTCCCTTGGCTCGGGTAAAAAAAAAAGGGGGGGGGGTGCTGTTCCAGTACATGACCAACCAGCAAGTTGCGACTGACCTGAACTTCAGCATGTTACAGATTGAACTGGGCAGAAAGAACAGAAATGCCCTTTCTCATGGTTTTTCCAGGATGGATTCAAAATGCCTTGTCATACGTTGCATAATGAGCCAAAAAGTCGAACTTCACGTTTCTCTTTAAATCAAGAATTGCTGTAAGAACTTCGAATGTAGCCGAATTAATGTCTCTCTTTGTTTCTTAACGCAAACTGATGGAAGGAAATACAAAACAAAAGCGGGAAGCAGTTCTCAAGACCAATCTCTCGAGTTCTGAATACAAATACTGTACTTTTCGATCAAAAATTTGACTTTCAATTCAAGATTGAAATAGATTAGGTACTACGAGCAAATTGTAGGTGGGGGGAACAGGGAAAATTTTTAAAGCAGCGACATCTAGGCAAATTACTGTATTCTATTTTTTTTATCACCTTAGTATTAGCTATTGGCATTGCAAAAACTAATTTAAGACAGAAATTGAGCTGGCTTATCAAAAAATAAAATATTTTACATGTCAAATCAACTTCACAAAATACCGTTTCATTGATGTTTTTGGTTTGTGGCTTTCCTGAGCACACCAAGAATTTTACCCCAGTTCTCTCGCTTTTGGATATGATTACAATAGTACTGTACTGTATTTGAGATTACCGTACTCAATCAAGAACTTCATTTTAAAAATAAACCAACCGAGTCCACAAATTTTAGGAAATTATGCAAAAAGAAGAATCATTTTGTCACAGAAAAAATAAAATAAAAATAGACCTATCAGAGTTCCACATTCTCGGGTCGACCTTTCTGTTCTTCTTTCTTCACACGCGGGAATCTAGGATCAGAAACCACAGCCTGCACCAACTCGCCAACAACTGCCTCGAATTCCATAACATCAAACGAGTAATTTGTAAACTTCTCATGGCCCTCATTTTCGCCTGGCAAAACGTGCACGCGCACTCCACGACCATCACTTCGCCAAGTACGGTATTTCACTCCACGTAAACGGGCCAGGTCGTAGTAACAATCAGAGTCGCCGCAGTTGTAAATTTCAAAAACAGCTGCCCAGTCCGGAAGGAACAAGCAGTGCGTTAATCCACTTCCGTGGATTCCAATGAGGATGTCAGTGTTTCTGATGATTTCTAGCTGAGAGCGAAACGGAGTGCGAAACGTGAACTCCGCTTTCCAATGTCATTGCAGAGGGTACGACGCATTTCGACGCTAGTTAAGTGGAAGTAACTACTATGCCGCTACGAAACAATTAGACCTGTACTTTCAGTGAGAGTGACCGAACAGACTTTAATCTTTGTGTTGAAAACAAATTGTACATGGAAAAGATGATGACATTAAATGAAGCAGGATAAAGATTTGGAAACGCCATCAAATGAAGGTGGACTCCCTTTACAATACTAAGTAAATATTTCTTACGCTTTTAGAGAAGGCGAACACCGAAAAAACATTTGCGATCCACCAAAAGGATAATGCCGCGACCCGGGATCGAACCGGGGACCTTTAGATCTTCAGTCTAACGCTCTCCCAACTGAGCTATCACGGCACCGTTATCATTCTACGTCCTTGAACTGGAACTCGTACACAAATGGAAATACTACTTTCTGTACATTTCCAAAGTCATTCCCGGTACTGTAACTTCAAGACAAACTCCATCTTGATAAGGGTAATTTGGAAGGAAAAGAGATAAACTTGTCACAAGTACGATTTCCAAATACATTACTGTAGTTTACTTTCCTGTGTAGTTAGTTGAGTGATTCAGCTGGGAGGCCTATTTAAAAATAAAGATTTGATCACAGGCCTCAGGAATGCTACACCAAACGCGATTTCCTATAAACCACTGAACTGGGCAGAAAAATCATAAATCTTGGCAAATTGGGACCATGATTTTCCCCAAGCCTTCACTTCTCTGGTATGCATTACGGTGAATTACTATACGGACTTCTCTTGCTGTTCTTCCCTGAGAACTAAAGATACTCATGATTACACAAATGTATTCGCACGTATACCATATTAAATGTTGTTTTACTCTGTTCACCACTGAAAGTTCTGTATATTTTTTTAAAGGAAGTACTGTATTCTTTCATATGTCCACAGCTAACTGGTTTTCAATCTGTGGTTTACAACGTTTGCGTGAAATAAATTGTTCAAATTAATGAGTAGCTAGGATAGGCTATGGACCAGGGTCTTCTGCCTTTCAAGGCCCTTGATTCAAACTGGACTAAATAAAAAACTATTCAACTTACGATTTGAACGATTACTTTCATCAAGAATTGTACAAAAACAAAAGTGTTTGCGTGAATACGACTGCCAAAAACACTTGGAGCTCGATGGCACAGAGGAGCCGGAATGACAGATAACTTCGTAAGGAAATTTAAATGAGCCACCAGAGCGCCGAAAAAAATTAATGCCGCGACCCGGGATCGAACCGGGGACCTTTAGATCTTCAGTCTAACGCTCTCCCAACTGAGCTATCACGGCACCGTTGGAGAACACTGTCCTAAAGCTGGCTCTTATACTACACACGGCGTTATATAGATCCCACTGTGCAAAAGAAGGGGATTCCTCCTTCATCAGGAACTCCAATCCCGCAATTAAAAATACCTGAAGAACCTAGGAAGTTATCCTTCTGAAATCAGACTACACCTTTTCACCCTCCATTGGTCTTCAGGAGTTTAAATTAGGTCTGGTATTTTCTGCACGTGGTACATTTAGGAATCTTTGCAAATGGCATAACGGAGGTAAATGCCGTCCCATTATTAAATGCCAAAATTAATTCATGATGCGAACCAAGGTTGCTTTATTTTTTAGGGTTACTCGTGGAATTACAGTGCATAAAATCTTTCATAAAATAAATTATTTTTACGGTCCTTTCGATTAAGCATTTAAATTAATACATCCGAAGCTGAAAATGTTGGAAGGGCATTTTCCCACCATTTCTTGCACTTTTTGCATCGAACAAATTTTGAAAACACATGCGGCCGAACTCTGGCCTGACTCTATACTCTATACTGTACATGGAATTACGCAATTATAAATCCCGGGCTACCACCAGGTAGAAGATGAATAAAAAATAAGACATATAAACCATCAACTAACCTGTGATTATTGGATCCTGATTCGCCACAATCCTCTTCATGACGTGATTTCGAAATGCCCGAAAAAGCCCACTAGCATGACAACCCGGGATCAACGGGGTATTATAGTACAGACCAAAGATCATTCTGGGCAAAAGCGGGAAAACGACTCCTCCACGAAAGCAAATCCGTTTCCCCGCCAGGTCGGAAAGCGTCAACAAAGGATTATCGGTAAATGCATCCCAAGCCAGGCCAAAATTGGATCGATACGGGACACTCTGCCACAGTATCACCTGCAATTGAAAAAAGAAAAGAAGACTCATAAGAAAATTAATCCCCATACGATACGATTCTTTTGAAAATCTTGGCATTAGAAATCGTCATTGCAGTCCGATGATTCGTGGTCCAACAACATATTTTTCAGATGCAGCTGAATATCTTCAAGTCAACAAAAAAATCGAGTTGGGGAGGTTTCGAGTCGGGAAAACAAAACAACGAATTTCTGCAGGGGGGGGNAACGGAGTGCGAAACGTGAACTCCGCTTTCGTTACAGTAACGTCTCCCATGCTGCGTAAAGCTGCGATCAATTCACCTTCATTGATGATACGGCGATGCTTTGTTAATCTGGACATGAAAGTCACTCTCACTGGCTTGTCTGAAATTAGAAACACAACAAAACAAATTGTACATGGAAAAGATGACATTAAATGAAGCATGATAAAGATTTGGAAACGCCATCAAATGAAGGTGGACTCCCGTTACAATTCTAAGTAAATATTTCTTACGCCTTTAGAGAAGGCGAACACCGAAAAAAAATTTGCGATCCACCAAAAGGATAATGCCGCGACCCGGGATCGAACCGGGGACCTTTAGATCTTCAGTCTAACGCTCTCCCAACTGAGCTATCACGGCACCGTTGAGGAGATACGTCCTTGAACTGGAACTCGTACACAAATGGAAATATTATTTTTAATACATTTCCAAAGTTATTCCCAGTACTGGAACTTGAAGACAAACTCCATCTTGATAAGGGTAATTTGGAAGGAAAAGAGATAAACTTGTCACAAGTACGATTTCCAAATACATAACTGTAGTTTACTTTCCTGTGTAGTTAGTTGAGTGATTCAGCTGGGAGGCCTATTTAAAAATAAAGATTTGATCACAGGCCTCAGGAATGCTACACCAAACGCCACTTCCTATAAAGTATAAACCATTGAACTGGGCAGAAAAATCAGAAATTTTGGCAAATTGGGACCATGATTTTCCCCAAGCCTTCACTTCTCTGGTATGCATTACGGTGAATTACTGTATGGACTTCTATTGCTGTTCTTCCCTGAGAATTAAAGATAGTCATGATTACACAAATGTATTCGCACGTACACCATATTAAAGGTTGTTTTACTCTGTTCACCACTGAAAGTTCTGTATATTTTTTTAAAGGAAGTATTCTTTCATATGTCCACAGATAACTGGTTTTCAATCTGTGGTTTACAACGTTTGCGTGAAATAAATTGTTCAAATTAATGTGTAGCTAGGATAGGCTATGGACCAGGGTCTTCTGCCTTTCAAGGCCCTTGATTCAAACTGGACTAAATAAAAAACTATTCAACTTACGATTTGAACGATTACTTTCATCAAGAATTGTACAAAAACAAAAGTGTTTGCGTGAATACGACTGCCAAAAACACTTGGAGCTCGATGGCACAGAGGAGCCGGAATGACAGATAACTTCGTAAGGAAATTTAAATGAGCCACCAGAGCACCGAAAAAATTAATGCCGCGACCCGGGATCGAACCGGGGACCTTTAGATCTTCAGTCTAACGCTCTCCCAACTGAGCTATCACGGCACCGTTGGAGGACACAACCCTAAAGCTGGCTCTTATACTACACACGGCGTTATATAGACCCCACTATGCAAAAGAAGGGGATTCCTCCTTCATCAGGAACTCCAATCCCGCAATTAAAAATACCTGAAGAACCTAGGAAGTTATCCTTCTGAAATCAGACTACACCTTTTCACCCTCCATTGGTCTTCAAATCAAATTTAATCCAGACCATAAAAGACGTGCACCATGTAAATCCTTAGAAACGTTTACCGTATTGCCTCCATTTACGGCAGGGTAATAATTTACGGTTTTAATTAAGTACTACGCTTGGTTCCAACGTTTATTTTTTAGGGTTACTCGTGGAATTACAGTGCATAAAATCTTTCATAAAATAAATTATTTTTACGGTCCTTTCGATTAAGCATTTAAATTAATACATCCGAAGCTGAAAATGTTGGAAGGGCATTTTCCCACCATTTCTTGCACTTTTTGCATCGAACAAATTTTGAAAACACATGCGGCCGAACTCTGGCCTGACTCTATACTGTACATGGAATTACGCAATTATAAATCCCGGGCTACCACCAGGTAGAAGATGAATAAAAAATAAGACATATAAACCATCAACTAACCTGTGATTATTGGATCCTGATTCGCCACAATCCTCTTCATGACGTGATTTCGAAATGCCCGAAAAAGCCCACTAGCATGACAACCCGGGATCAACGGGGTATTATAGTACAGACCAAAGATCATTCTGGGCAAAAGCGGGAAAACGACTCCTCCACGAAAGCAAATCCGTTTCCCCGCCAGGTCGGAAAGCGTCAACAAAGGATTATCGGTAAATGCATCCCAAGCCAGGCCAAAATTGGATCGATACGGGACACTCTGCCACAGTATCACCTGCAATTGAAAAAAGAAAAGAAGACTCATAAGAAAATTAATCCCCATACGATACGATTCTTTTGAAAATCTTGGCATTGAAAATCGTCATTGCAGTCCGATGATTCGTGGTCCAACAACATATTTTTCAGATGCAGCTGAATATCTTCAAGTCAACAAAAAAATCGAGTTGGGGAGGTTTCGAGTCGGGAAAACAAAACAACGAATTTCTGCAGGGGGGGGAGAAATATTACAGAAAATTTTAATTTTTCCTAATCTCTTCCCTAAATGGATTCTTGAATGAGTTGACAGGATGCTGAAATTGAAGGCAAGGGTTTATTCGCCCAAATTAGTCTTTCACTTCCTTTCTAAATGCATTATTAAATGCAGGTTACATTTTCATTGCTTTTCTCTTTCCTGTGTCGATGAAAAATAGCCAAAAGGCCCCGGAAGTTTCGAATAATGGAGGCTTGAGGGGGAAGCCTTTGAGTCAGGGAGGTTTTAAATACTGTACATTGTTCAAACATGTTTTGTTGCACCTGTCTGGATTCAGACAGGTGCTTGGGAAAATTCGACATAAGGAGGTTCGAGTTTTCGAGGTCTAACTGTACAGTATTTATTTGTGGCTTATATTCTGTAAATTCTCCCTACTGGTGGCTTTGAAAACTTTCTTTTTTTTTTGGAAACCGTTACAAGAAAATTTTTTCCTCTGCAGAAATAACTACAGAAATAGAAATAAGCTGATGGCGAATGCAGATAAATTGTTTTTGAAAAATCATTTCAGGGCTCCTGAAGAGAGGCCTTCCGAAGAAAGAATTGCTTAGTACAGTATTCAAGAATCATCAGAGGTAAAAAAAAGGCAAAATAATTTTTGATCGTACCTTGAAATTCATCTGTTGGTAATGGGATAACATTGAAAAACACAACGTTCCATTCTTCCGCAATGAAAATCCACAGGAAAACAATGTACTGTACTGTACACAGTATCTTTTCTAAATTTACCTGCACATCTTTGGTCCACGCGTTGCCCAGCTTCCAGTCAGAGTTCACGTGCAAACTCGCGTATAAGTTGAGAAAGTCGCAAAAATGGTGGTACATGTTCACCTCGGCGTCCAGTTTCATCACATAAACCATTTTTTCAAATGAAACATCACACTCTTCGCTCAACGAATGATTCAGCTCCACAAAATTTCTGAACTCGGGTCCCCAGGATTGGAGAGGACTCAATTCGTCGGAATTGTCCACAAGTCTTTTAGTATCCAAGGAACAGTCTGCTCCGATGTCTCCACGAGATAATACGTCCATCTTGTAGAGGAGATTCTCTTTCCGTTCCGCGACTTTCTTCAGATCCAAACGTAGGTTGTTTCCACGGCAAAAGTGCATGTGGTCCGAGCATTGCAGCCAGACAGTTGATTTTCCAGAACTGCTTCCCCGAAAAAAATAGAAAAAATAACAAATTAGTCAACGCATGGAAGCATAGGGTACCCAAAGAGGACCCAATGAATAAGGTAGGCGAATTTTCCAACGAAAGGTGTGAGAGCAAGACAAAATTGTTTTTGAATGACGTCCAACTTCATGATTCTAATTGCATTGACATATCTACATTTGAAATTAAATAAAAATTTAAATTGTGTGTTTGCAATTTTCTTTTCAGCACGGTTTAATTCCACGAGCTTCATGCCCAGACAACGCAAGTTTCAGTGCTCAGTCACATTTCAAGGTTGTCAGGAATTTTTTTTTCCATTTTCCAACTACAGTACAGTGATAAACCTGTACAATTAAAATTTCGTTATACAGAATCCCATTCTTGAAGAATATTTTTCGAATTGTCAACGGCCCCAGCAGAATCAATTTTGTCGTAATGCGTTTAGCATGGAGGAGAAAAATATTGCATCTTTCCTGTCCTAGTTCTGCGCACTCTTTCTTCCAGATATCGTATATTTCTTCTAAAATATTTCTTGTGTATACCGCATTTTCCTTTTTTGTTGTTGCTATACATTTTTTTTAGAATGACTAATGAAGCAGACAAACGTTTCTGGCTCAAGTTACATTCCCAGGAATGAGCTCCTGTAAACGCTTTTATTTAAACGAAACGAAACACTGCAGCAGGATCATTTCAGAAATAAACGAAACCTTTCATGATTTCCAGTACTTCTTGACAACCACAGTACTCTTCGTTGATGTATGCCTGTGACATTGACTACGACGACTTCGTGTGTCTCGAACTTGAAACTTCCTTTTATTAAATAGACGCACACACGCCATGCGAACAACCTTCAGCCCATATTGGGGAATGTCATGTCACGATATACAAGGGCTTCAATCCCTGACACAAGGATAAATCCTGTGAATACAGGAACACGTACATATGGTGATACACAGGCTAGCAAATCCACCAGCATGTGAATTTCAACAGGATTTCAGAAATGTTTTCCATTTATTTTCAATCGGATAATTTTCATTGAAAATCCTCCCAATTTTTCTTATTTGGGCTAATTGTTTTCAATTCAATTTTAACAAAAATTAAACGTATTTTTACGCAAGGGTTCCTTTGAAGGTCATCACTACATATCTTCATATTCTTGCCTCAAGAATAACCGACATACTGTATATCGAAGATTCTGAATTTATTATGGGTTTTCTGCATAGAAATTATGATCTCACCTGGTGTCTGATCTCGGAGAGCAATACATCTTCAAGGTCTTCTTCTTCCCCGCAACATACCCGAAATCCCCTTGGTGGAAAAAGGTCTCAATCTGCTCCTTTTCGTCATGAGTCCACCCCATGCTGTCTCCGTCACAAACCGGGCGCGAATACCTCTCCTCAACACCACATTTCGGTTCATAGCCCCAACACGAAATCCGTGCTGAACTCGATTCATACTCAAATTGCTCACTCTTCCGCGACACAGTGTTGAAATCTGGCAACAACGTCGGCTGCACTACATGGTGAACCGTTTCTTCAACAGGCACTAACGTCTCAGCCCCGACGACGCAAATGAAAAATAAAACGAAGGGTGAACGGATCCTACGCATTTCCCGATCATTACGTTCAAGAAGGAACTATCCTGCAAAGATAAAACAAGCACAAAAAAGAGAAAGAAATCTTAATTTAGAAACTAACACACATGCTCCATCGCAAATTTGTTCGGAATGCACTTCCATAATCACACCAGCGGCGAATACAAGAGATTTAACAATTAAACCTTTTTGGCTCGCTCCAGTAGCCGTACACGGATCTCAAGATTAACGCAAACAATCAATAGGGACAAGCATTTATCTATATTGCGCTTCCACCGGAAGTTCGTGACAGAATACCCCGCACACAGCTTTTCCGGAATAAATTTTTGAAAAGAGCCAATTGATCTCGGACTTAAATTACGAATAAATAAAAAAATAAAGAACCATTTTCCCCCGAACGGCGTCCTAACACTTTAGGAGATCATTTACCAGATCGGCGCACTGTCACCAACCAAGAAAGCATTACGGTACGTCATTTCATTCAAAATGTCCAAGAGGAAGCACGTGTCTTCGACAACGCAAGCATACTTTTAGTTACACACGTGAGCAAAAGGTTCGAAAAAGAGGGGAAAAGTTCTAAGGAAGAAAAATTGACGAGAAGGGTCCCCAAAACAAAACCATCATATTTATGCAAGATGACCAGATTTTCGCAGAATACAAGAAAAAAAAAACTGATGCGGAAAAACCGGTTGTTCGATCATAAAAGCAGAACCAAGGTTCTTAAACGGCAATCACGATCCGGAACTAAAACTTCTCTTAAATCCTCCCCATGCTTTCGAGCGCGGAATGCAACCGGGCCCGCACAGCCTCGTTTTCTCTCTCGAAAGCGGAGCAGGGCGTGGAGGCTTCATTTTCTTTCTTCCGTTGAGAAAAAATTGATTAGAGCTCGAAATAGTCTCGGCAGCGATCACAAAAAGTAAGGCGTGCGTCTGTCGCACGGAAATACACGCTCGCTGTCCGGCACGGCTTCGAAAATTTTCTCCTCGGGCCTCTCGGCGCCCGCAGTGAAGGCCAGGATGGCGGCTACGTTACCGCAACGGTAGCAGTAATTGGGTGCGGACCACACCGTCACGACTGTGTCGTCGAACATGTACTTAAACCCTGGGAACAAAATAAACAAATCAATAAAACGTAAATAGCGCAAATACTCGAATCTAACCAAGTATCTATTTCATGAGGCTTTTCAACGAAAAAGAGGGCCAATTCTTTTGTCAGGGCACTCGAATGCCGCATTTACGCGAATATGAGCACTCCCTAGATAGTTCATGCACAAAATTAAAACTCGCGCATCAAGTAGGCAAATATATGCACCTACTCACTTGAGCCACTTCACTGGTGTTCTGACCTTCCAGGAATTTGAAATTTATGACTGAATTAAATTTTTTTCTGAAAATGAAAAACTGTCTCACAAGTGCTCCATCGTTTTGCGGGCCACGAACAGGAAGATTTCCTAATATAGACGCATATTTTCGCAAATTGCATAAGCAAATATACCTAGTTTTGAACCCATAAAAAATTGGAGAAGAAGATGTGCTTACATTTGCGTGTATCCGGTAATTTGTAAGCGAGTTGCAATAGGGCTCGGCAACAAATCAGTCAAGATGAACAGTACTCGGTAGAAAGAAGAATAAGAATAAAAAGCATGTTGACTACTATTGAAGTTGAGTACACACTTTCTGGAAATATTTTCGTGCATTTTTTTCTAGTGTGTTTTTGACGATTCTGACTAAGAAAGTTTAAAACCTTAGCAATATCGACTGGTTACGCTTGTGAACTGTCCTCGTACTTGAAGGATATTTTTTTTTTCTTTTTCAGATTCAAAAATCTTGCATCGGACATAATATTCAACCCTTATCCGAAAATTTTATCGCAATTTTACTGCATTCAAAAATTTGAGAAACGCAGGAAAAATACGAACAACATCTGAACTATAACACAGCAGGTCATCATCGTTCTGATAATCACTCAATACTTTTTCCTACCGTTTCTTATGCAATAAAGTGCGGGAACACGACAAAGATTTCGAAATTGGCGGCCAGATAATCAGCAAATAATAGTAGCTGAGGAAATACAAGCGTCGCGCGGCTTTTTTTGGGTCGACTAATAATTACTCATCACCCACACGTTCAAAAACAATCGCTGGATGATCAAGAAAAACGAGGAATTACCTTCTTGAACAAGTTGGTGAGCACGGCAGATCAACTTGAGCCCATTCACGCGAATGAACTCATGAGTCACAGTCTGACCGAACAACCACCCAGCACCTCGGGGACTGACTTTCCAACTATCCACGTCCTCAGGATCTGACCAAACTAGGTCACAGAAAGCTCCTTTATGCGGAATTTCCTGATTCCGATTAATCATCCTAACTTGGTCCATCATAATTATCTCAGGCGATAGTCCACCATGTACACACATCACTTCATTGTCAATTAGCTGAAAACAATCGAAATTTAGAAACACAAACATTCATTTGAAAGGATGAAGACTTACAGCTGCTACGGTGAGCAAATCGAAGACTTGACAACAATACCTCCAAGCATTAGCGTTGCCGTACTTGTTTTGGCACTCATCTGAAATCAGATGAATAAACCACTTCGAATGCGTAGCGCTTTAAGCAACACAAACTTACCATAAAAGCCATAAACTTGAGTTATTTGACGGCTTTCGTGATTGCCGCGAAGCAAAGTAATCTTGTCGGGCCACTTCGCTTTTAGTGCCAACAATCGCGTGAAGGTTTCCAACGAATAATAGCCTCGGTCAACGAAATCCCCCATGAAAACGTAATTAGTATCAGGAACTTGACCTCCTGTACAGAACAACTTCTCCAGATCATAATACTGAGAAAAGAAGACAGAAATTATTCATCCCGACGACACCGAATCGACATCTATCAAATACTTGTCCGTGAATGTCTCCGCAAACAGTCACTGGCGTTGAAACGGGTTGAACATTTGATTCTTCCAGGAGCAGCTCACTGACAATTTCGCAAAGTTTCTGCGTCAGCAACAGTTTAAAGAAGAATAAACCATCAAATACTTCGCAAAAAATCGAATCACGAGGCCAAACCTTGAGGTCATTTTCCGGGAGGTATTTACAATCCTTGCTCATTTCAATCCATCGGTCCACATCGAAGGTAGCCATGATGACTGGTTCCGAAAAACGATCACGTATAGCGAGGCACGATTAAACAACGGAAAAAATCCTCATTTTTTTAAAATTCCAAGTACCTGAAATAAAAACCGAAATAATGTGAAGATTACACAAAAATTTGACACAACAGACGGTCAGAGAATAAACATTCCACAGTCAATCACGCCTCGGCAAATTTATAATTTCAAACTGTTCGCGATCGCACACAACCGTAGTCTAAGAGTGGTTTGATTGATCCATAAGGCGATCAAGACAATTTCGAGGTTCAAGGCTATCAAAAAGCAGTACCGTAATAGGGAAATTTCTTCAATTTACTCACCTTCAGAATACGCACATCATTCTTAGCGATCTCAATCCTGTATAATCGTCGTCGAAAATTATTTCATCCCGTAAAAACCAAGACAGACTCATTCCTGGAAAAACAGGAAACAGCGTGATTTATGTTATTGCAAATCGGCGTGTACCGATCGTCCATACAAAACTATTCACGTAGAATTTATATATCTTCTAAGATGTTCACCGAAATTGAAGGATCCCGAGTTTTTCACGGACAACACTCGCACCCGATGGCGATTTGCCAATCGCTTCCGATTCCTCGCGAAACTAAATCATCAAACAGCCATTGCGGACAGACATATTTGCAAAGTAGCAACCGGTCTGATAGGACACAGAGCGAAAATAAAAATAGCAACCAACACATTCCAGTTGCAATAAAAGTTTTTTTCAATTTTGCATTCATGTTTTAGCCTCGAAAATTATTCCTCAAGGAAATTTGTTTTCCAGGATAATTTTACTACTCCGGAAAAATTTCAACTATTGGCGGAACTCCATGCGCCATTGATCCATTATGCAGCTTTATTGCTCTCCTGGTTGTCGGATGTTTTTCATTCAAGTATATTTGCTGAACCAGGCTCCATAATCACCTTGTAACACTTCAGACAAATTTTCACAGGTTTAAATAATAAAATTACACCATTTCTCAAAGCCCAGTACCTTGCTGATTTTTTGAAGAAATTTCACTATCTACATATTGGTCCTTCACTTAATTTTTGCAGAAGAGCAGACAATTTTTAGATATACACCATAAAGTGCTTCAGACAAAACTTTCTGAGTGCAAAAATGTCATGATGGTCTGGAGAAAATATTTTGGAAATTTACCGGTCAGCAAAACTTTTCATGGGAATTTGGGCCCTAGACAGTTGGGGAATGCTGGTGTAAGAGGCGGCCCTTCTCTCATCTTTTCTGGGGAAATGATCACCTGCTATAAATACAGGTGAGCAGCTCCAAACTTGTCACCCCACTCTGCTGATTTCCTTAGCAAATAGATGCAAGTGAATACTTTGAGAGAACTGATTGTATATAGAACCCACTGTGAAAAAAAACATGCATCAGACAAAACTGAAGCTGAATGCACCAGACTTCTGTAGAAAATCTGTCAAGTTTTTGTGAAGATTCGCAATTTTATTCATACGTTCGACAAATGAACAAAAAAAGAGTCAGTAACAATCACCTCGTGCATCAATCCATTTAACATGGAAGATCCATGCGTCGAAGGCACGCCAATACTGATAAAAAGAGATTCATGAATCTAGCATACACTGCAGAAACATAACAAAAATTCACCCAATGAAAAAAAAAAAGAACCTCAGATTCTCAACGGTGATTGCAGAAATATTTCGGCAAGAAAAACTGGACTGAAATGCAAAAATTCTTTCCCTTCGCATTTGGAAGATTCATCATTCTTTTCATAAAACTGAGCACTTTCAGTTTCAAAAATTGTCCCTCTCAACCAGATGCAGCACCGAGTTGAAAATCATCGGACCTGAGTTTGCTCCGGAAGACATAAATAACAAAGAAGCACAAATTCATGCATCAATGATTAATTATAAATCAAAAGATACATCCATAATATTTCAAAAAAATTATCCTTAGTATTAAATCACTCATTCTGATGATACTGCAAGTCTTAGAAGAACAGAACGGACATATTTCTGAAAAGCTTCATTCATTCGCACATATTTCGAGAGAAAGTTTTCAAACACCCAAAAAAGTCTCGGTATGCGTGTATAACACATGAATGAGTTCTTGAGCTTTCAAGCTACCACGATTATTACGACATTCGTCAGTTAAACTGAGATTTTCGTGAAAATTCATACGAACTCAAAGAAATGCGGACGTCTCAGCCTCTTGATACAAAGTCGTCTCTACGAATATTTTGTTCGTGATTGAAAATTCTTGCACTGATATACATCGGATTCGCTTGAATTAGCTCGACATCAATTTTCAATTAAAATGACGTTTCGGCAGTACAGCATACAAAATTTAACCGCTCACGTCAACCACTCGAATTTCACGCAATTTTATTCATTTTTCGAACATAAACAAGAATATTCACGATCCTTCGACGAGATTAATCTTATTTTTCGTTCCAGAAATGCCGAGAAATCTTGGGAGAATTGAAAACAATTTCTTCTTGGCGCTAGAAAAGTGGAAAACACATTTAGAAGGAAGTACAAAAAACCGGAGCTATTTTACACTGGTATCGTTCCTGTTACATCGGACGAACAGAAGACTGAACAAAAACAAAACAAAAAAGAGAAAAAAAAAACAGCCAACTGAAACTTACAGTTTTAATTTGGCAAACTTTTTGTGTTTTTATAAAAGAGTCAAAATTTTACCTCCCGGGTCACCCATCTTGATTTTAAGCATAGCACATAATCACAATGTGGAGCCTTTTCAAGCTTTTCTCGTCCACGACGTCGCCAGATCACCTGCTCGGATCTCTGCCAGTTAGGCGGTCGATCAATTCCCGCAACGGCGCCAATTCTTTATGATCAATCAACGCAAATTGTTGGACAAAGAATATAAAGTGCTTGAAAGAGGTGTTCAAGTGGGCCTCTTCTCCGAGCCTCACTACTTGCTCGAAGTGCTGGTGGTAAATGTGGGCATACACTCGGAACAACCGCTTCAAAATCGTCTTGGCGTTGGACAAAAAGTTCTTGGGGAACGGGATCCCGATTTTCGACGGGAACAGGTTCTCGTCCTCCAGCTGGTCTTGGACCCAGGTCATGAGGTAATCTATGTACTTGGGAGCCGAGCATTTGATGGGTTTCTTCACGGTGAACCCGTCGGCCCAGTGGTACTCGTACTTGGGGCCCGCGGCCATGACTGCACAGGACTCTTCGGTGCAGAACTCGGTGATGGTGCCGAACAGCATGTTGATTTGGTTGAAGAAGTCGACGACGTGGACGGCGATCCATTCGTTGAGGTCTTCTCCTTCAGGAAGGGCGACGGCTTGTCTGAGATTCCCGGCGCCTAAAGTGGCCGCCGCGCGTTTCATGAGGTCATACTGATGAGTTCCTTCCGCGATCTGCTTTTTCGGTTTGAAAGTCTTCGCGTTCGCGCCGCCGAACAGGAAACTCATCTCTCTCACGCCCCTCCCCTTACTTTCACAGGCTGGAAATCGGAAATCCGTTATTTCATTCCAGCAATACATTTTCTCAATAATTCCATACCACTGGGGTTCTCACAAGTCAAGCTTCTGAACATTAGAGAATGTGCTCCAGCTTCTTCAAGACAATGTTGCTCAGAAAATGTTGAACCGCTCTTCGAATGTCATTTAAAAAAAAAACCGCACAAAATTACTAAATCTAGGCTCAATTAAAACCTACATCCAATTATTATTGCATTTTATATTTCACGTTCGTATCTTGGATATCATGGCTACCACAGCTATTTCAAAATAATTCACATCGCAAACGAAGGGGAACAATTGCACATTTTCATGATAAATTCATGATTTGGTAATTTCCGTGGCCTTTCTAAATCAACGCAAGAAAAAATTGCATACAGAGACATTTTGTTCGGAATCAAATAAAGTTGGAATACTTAAAATCTTAATTCAGCTTCAAATCACTTTTGAATTTAGAATTGTTCCAGAGTGAAATAAATTTACTCCTCGCTCGATAAATTTCAACTGCAGTCATTTTGAATTATCTGTAGCCATCATGCTAAAATCGAAATGCGAAAAAATGATTTTAAATGAATAATTCAGTTTAGATTTAGTTTTTCGAATGTTTGAAGTTCGAATTCCGGTCATTTCAGAAGTGGTCTTCGAAGACGGTAATCCTCTCATAATTATAATTCCTGCTGCACTCATTCTTAGATTACTGAATAACATTTGTAAACCTCAAACTTCCTGTCGAGATGCGTTTTTAAATTATGAAACAGGAAACCATACTTTAGCCTACTTTAATATCATTTGCATTAGTGCGTGTCCTTTTCTCTTAACAAAAAAAGTGCACCTCGAACGCTAATTCTTCTTCCTTGCTTTTTTTTTCTTCTGATCACCGCTGGTTTCGCAATTTTGGTTCTGAAGAATTGGCGATAGATATTGTCGGTAACACACGCAGCGAAGACGGCTTGATCAGTGAGAACCCCCAGGCAGCAACAAGAAAGGGTTGAAAAACGGAAACAGGAAATTCGAATTTCATTCATGCTTCAACCGTTCGTTGCCGACATAAACTTCGGAAACCCGCAACGCCAACTGCGACTTAAACTCAGCTATCGTTTGCTCATTTCCTCAACCTCGCACGAACAACGCTACTTTTTTTTCTCCCTTAATCTCGTCTTACTTTTCTTTTCACGAAAGGCGGAATGTTTCGGCAATTTCCTCGGTTAACTATTCCCATTCCAAGCAACACCAATGACGATTCCGAAGAGAAAAAAAAATTGTACCACCAGCCTTTCCCCGAAGTCAATAATCGCGGAAACCTCGGATGGCACAGGCTAAAGTTTACCCATATAGGAGTATGATACATACGAATATTTATAAATCTTCCCAATATTATTTCTTTTTGGCCTCACGACGGACAAGGCAGCTCTATTACGGAATCCAGGCAACACCTTTCTTCATCTTCGAAGGGACAAAAAGTAAGTAACTGAATTCCATCGTTAATCGCACCAAGAACATCAAGAAAGGTCAGTTCTCCACCCACGGAAATCTGCGAGTTCGGTTGGGACAATTTCTTCATAATCTCGACAAAATTCGATGATTCACGTGACAAAAAAGGAAATTTGCTGAAGATTCGAATTTCAATATCACGAACAGTACTGTAACAAAAAAATCAACTCAAACCAAGTATCGGATTTGATGCGAAATTTCTTCAAGTTTGTTCTCTACGCAGTGAAAGTATTGGGAGTCCAGAAAGTCACAGAGCATTAGAAAAGGTTTCACGAATATTACATTGAAGTGGATTTACAAACAATACATTGCAGTTTTTCCTGCATCAAATGCGAACATTTTTTTTCAGAAGCATGAAGAAAGGTCTGAATGTTCATGATTTAAGAAAAACCAAGTATTTCACATCCCAGCAACTTTTTGGACGCCCCACAGTGCTCCTTTCAAATACGAGACCCACTCATTTCAATAAGCTCTAACGTAACACATTTCTCAGAAACCGCTGTGAATAATAAGCTCTTCCCAAAATTAAAATTCCTAAAATACAACAGTGAAGAAAAAAAAGATACCGTAGCCTTCTTACAATCAAGAGCTAAAAAAGTGTCCAAGTAAAATTCCTTCCCCTTATTTCACTCAAATGATGAAAATAGTTTTGCACCCAAGATCCCGAAAACCTGGAACCCCATCAAGCCCTGGCACATCTTTGAGAAATAAAATTGAAAACCTGTATAATTTTCGGGAGGAACCTTACAGCGGATATAAATATTTTTGGCTGATTTTGTCCCTTTGAGGAGGAAAAAGGAATGACCTTCGTTTTCCGCGCAATAGCCAACAAAGCAACTAGAGAGCGAGGCGAACCCTCGTGCAACATCGAGAAGCATCTGGCGAACAAACTCGTTATCTCTCTTTCCCCAGGCGGCAGCAATAAATATATATCACAATCGTCTCAGCACTTGATCCAGTGTCAAACCCAACAAACAATCACGGGAAAATCAAAACACGAAACCTGCGATCACTCGGTGCAGTTGATGTTGAAAAAAAACAGGCACTGCTTTCAGATCAAGGTTAAGCACGCGGACGCGCGGAAACACAGGGCACACTTCAAATCAATCCTGAAATTTTTCGTTTCCTCCGAAGGATTAAAAAATAAACCGAAAACCAAAAAATCACATTGCCAGCCAAAGGGGAAAGAGGAATCCTACCTAATCCACGAAACCTAGCAACGTCGACGCAAAACTGAGAAAGAGAGAGAATAAATACCCCGAGGCGAAGTCCAGGAAATGCGAAAAAAAGTCAATCTTTGAAAACCAAGCCAATCGAATCAAAAAACGGCTTTTCATCTGCAAACTGCACTTAAATTATTCATTTGAACTACTAAAAAATGCCGACAGGTTTTGATCAAATGAGAAAAGCCAAGACCCATTTCTCCATCTCTTCCGATTGAAATTGAAATTCTCGAAAAATTTAGTTTTTTCGGATTTCCTGTTCTTCGGACTCTCACAAACCATCTGAGAGAACAAAGACGGTTTTCCCAGAGCCGCTAAAAAAAGAAGAAAAAAAAAAACCACCGCAAAGAGACAAGACATTCATGACCGAGGCGAGGGCCTAAGTTCCACTCGTCGCATCCAGGCTTTCTTCTTCTTCATCTTCCCCATAGAGATAATTCCCCGCATTGAAGGGTCGAGGTTAGAAATGAGGTGATTGATTACAGAGCACCGAACGGGTCCGAGCTACCGAGGAGGTTCCCGGTCGCAGGCCCTGCCATGAAGTTTCCTGTAGGACCCATTGGACCCCCGACTGGATTCTGCGTGAAGAAAAGTTACATTTTGGTTACTGCCAATAGTGCCAAAATAAAAGTACTGTAATCAAATGCTAGGAATTTCTACGTAACCCATGGGTTTCTCAAAATTAAAGAACAAAATGCTTCTAAATAATCTGGGCATGAGGTTGTGGGCATTATATTCATGAGAGCACTTGTAGAGTAATGTATTGCATCTCGTTAATGCTGTAATGTAAAGCGTAAATATCGACCTAAACACCCGTTCAACGTCTTCGGCTGAGTCAGCATTTCCAAAATCTATTCACGCCGTAAGTATCAACCCCTGAAACCCAATAGCATTTTAACACTCTCAGAAACACTCAAGTCTACGAGAATAATGTCTGAATACCTTCAACTACCCCCGAACTGCATCAAAAAAGTCCTTCAACTCTCTCAATACCAACATATTCCTACTCGCATTACCATTGGTCTGAAGCCTTGGACACCTGCACCCGCAGCAGGTTGACTCCATCCCGCCGCTGCTGCCATGGGCTTTTGAGTTTGCTTCGCTGGCGAGTTCCACCCTCTGAATATCAAGGAAGTAATGTCATTCATCAAACGTGATTTGAAACGAAACAAGAAATCGATTGAAAATCTTACTCTCTGTTCAACAGCAGCATGAAAAGTATGTTCAACGCATTGATCAATGTGGTTAAATTATGAGAAATGCCGAAAGATGAGCCGCAAAATACCCAACGGATTTAATTACAATAACACAACTGCAGGCATAAAAACGTTTACTTCATTCAAAAATAAGTCACGAGGAAATCGTCTTTTCCAAAAAATCCATGCGGAGGATTGATGTGAACCCAGAATCCCAAATACTATACAGCATTTTGCATATCTTTGCGAAAAATCAACGCTTTTCATTAAGATTGTGAGGCACCAAAATGAAAAATGACGAATATCTCTAGAAATTTTCATCATGGAAAAATTCAGGATCTTTCGTTCATTCCTACGCAATTGGCAATAAAACCCAATCCATGCATACAAAATATTTTATCGGAGTTCCTGTCTATTGCATTCCTTCGAACAGAGACGCGAAGATTACGCCCAATTTTCTTGTGTTTTTCGGAAATTACCAACTATCCTCTTCGCGTTTTGGTTGAATAAAATATTGACGAAGAAAAATACACCAGGTGTTATTCAAGATGTGGTTCTCAAAAGGCCGTAGTCATGTGAAACCCAAAAACTTTGATAAAACGTCGTACAAATTCTGAATTAGTTCAAATCCAGTCAACCACTGATTTGGTAAAAAAAAAAAAAAAAAAAAAAAAAAAAAGACACTAACTGGACGTTTGACTGAATTCACATTCAAAAAAAAAAAAAAAAAAAAAAAAAAAAAAAAAAAAAAAAGAAGACACTAACTGGACGTTTGACTGAATTCACATTCGGCAATGGCCTTTGTCCTTCAGGATAAAATCATCTTGAAAAATAATATCATCTTGACAAATAATTGCTAGAAGGGGCCAACATGTGATCAAAAATGAAACAAGCCCTGCAAAATCTTCAGTAAAAAATTCCGTTCAGCTCGTTTGGGTCAAAGTTACCCGAATTGAATTCAGCGTAATCAACTAGATATTTTCCAGCTCTCGCGTTCAAAATACAGTACTTAAAGACTAAAACAAAATACTGATCCATATTTCGCATGCAGCTGATCTAAAGAAAAGAAAAAAAAACAGAGCATAAAATAGAGAGAAAGAAGACTTACTTTCCAGCGCCACTTGAAGGCATGATGGACAGGCTGTCAGCCAAAGAAGCCAAGGTCGAGTCGAGGTCACCCGAAAAGAGGGATTTTTGCTGCGCGGGTTTCGACGGCGCTCCCGAATTCATTCCGGCGGGATTTGCGGCAGCCGCAGCACTTTGTCCAACAGCTACAGGTTGAAGCATTTGTCCAAACGCATCAAAGCCTTCATACGCACGGGGACAGTAGACAACAACAAAGTTATTGAAAGTCAAATGGTTGTCCGACACACCAGGGCATTTCCGAAAGTCTCGTAAATTCTCAAGAACACAAAAAAAAACTACACATGCAGTTGAACATCGATAACTCTTAACTCTCCAAGTAAAAAATCTCCCTGCGTCGGATTTTTTTTTTTCAGTACCAGTCTGAATTCCATTAGAAACAGAGCATTAAAAACCTCCGGAACTCCAAAGCTTTCCTCCTCAACCCTCCACAACTGGAATTTTCTGGCTATTGTTTTATTGACACAGGAAAGAGAAAATCAATACAAATATAACTTGATCCATTTTGCAAGGAAGTGAAAGACTAATCCGGCAATCCTATACAGTACAGCATCTCTTAAGTTCGGCATCCTGTCAACTCATTTAAGAAACAATTTAAAGCCCAGGGTATCATCCATTACAATTTCCAGTCATTCTTTCTTTCCCCCAAAAAAATTCCAATGGTTTCGTAACTCGAAACCTCCCCAACTCGATTTTTCGCAGGTATTTCGAAGTTCGACTTAAAGAGGTTCCACTGTAATGAATATCAATATTTAAAAAAAAGAATCTCGAAAATATTTATCGAGATGGATAATGATAATCTGATCACAAAATTAATATGTTCCACTAGATTACATGCCTTAAATGGAGGCGTTAGAAATAAATTCTCAAAAATCTTAGGACAACTTTCGGAAATCCCCTCGCAGTTCTTCGAACGATGGGCGATCCAAAGAAACTCGTGATTTTCCAACAGAAGAATTCATGAAAATTAGAACTTTTTCCGCTTCATGGAAAAAAGGCGAAATTACCTTTCAAGATTTCACTAGATGCAAAAAAATAAGGGAAATTTTCGATACGGCAACTAAAAATATTATTCCAGCGGTGAATTCAGAATCGTTGGAACATCACGAGTCCGCCCTCAAATAAGAGACAGTAACAAAAGCAAAAATGTGAAGTCGAAACACGAAATCAACAAAAGCGCTAAAATCGGCGAAGGATCAAATTGCCCTACGACAGGATACGCCTTCAAAACGAAAGAAGTAGTATTAGGTCAGGTCATTTCATGCTCAACTGACACCGGACCCGACAAGAGGGCATGCAAACGAAACAACACCCAGTTTTTCCTTACACAACAGAACCACGGTTTCCCCGCGTGAGTGTGTGTATGTGTTCCCCGGCAGCAGGAATCAAACGGATAAAAGAAGGGACGGTTAACAACGGGACTTACACAAAGTTACGGACTTTTAATTACACAAAAAAAAACGGCATAACAGACGAAACGCATCATAGAAATATAATCAGTGTTCTGGCGAATTAGAGAAGTAGTCGAAGATTCCAGAAAACGGAAATCGTGGAATCTGAACGAGATTCTGCGGAATTCGGAGAACCGCGATTGCATAATACAGTACCGTTTTCATCCCTAATATCCCATTTAAGCTCACCCTCAGTGAAAAAAGCAAGACTTTCCTTCTTCATTGATTCTCAAGCTATAAATTCAGAAAAAACAACAAAATTTTCACTAAAATCGTAATAAATTGAGACACGAAAGCTGGATTGCGATCCCGTCGGAAATATGTTATCTTTAACCTCCCCAGGAAATAAAAAAAAATCAATGCAATCCTCACGCATTTCTGAAATAGCACAATGAAAAATCGACCGTTTTGCCTAAAAGATGGAATTTTAAAAATCGCGCAAAACCAGAACAGCCTTTGTGCAATCCCGTCAGCCTCGTTACGAAAAAGCAGGCAACAAATTCCCACCAGGTTCCTTTATCAAATAAGCGTGCTAGTCACTCTGATGCAACAGACACCATAAAATTGGGATATCATTCAAGACAATAATTGCAGGCCTTTCAATGGCTGAAAAAGTGCGAAAGATTTTTCGGGTAAATGACGGAGTTTTTTTCCTCCAATAATAAAAAACACGAATAACGGTTGCTATAAAAATTTCATCTCAAGAGGTAAAAATGGCTTGAATTACCTGATCCACATTCCCAGGAATTTCGAAATTCTTAGCCAACACGCTCAAGCATTTTAACAATAAAAGTTGAACAGACGGACTTATTTTTTTCCTCGATGCGTCAAAATTAAAAAAAAATTCTTCAGGAGGTGATTTCGCATCACAATATGTACAAGAACAATACAGACGCATAATTTGAGCATTCAAATACCATCTCCCATGACAAATGAATAAAAGCCAGCCTCTTGTTAGTCGACAAAGAAAACGTCCAACGACCCCTTTTTTTTTTGCTTCCATTAAAGGGCCTTTTTTAATATCAACTCACTCGACGCACTACTGCCTCCGAACGCTGCTGCAAATCCGGCTTCTGACGCAAACTGCGAGTTCATACCTGGACCCAGACCTATTTTTTCCCCACATATAAGGGGTTTTCGTTACCAGCAAGAAATGTAAATAAATTCCAATCCACAACCAAGGTTGCCCACACACGCTCACAGCAATAACTCACACAAGCCCGGGGCGAAAGGTCTAGATTCTCTAGAAACTCCACTACAAAGCCTGGCTTGGTTTGAAATTAACCAGAACATTTCCTTTATTTGTTTTTTTTTTTAATTTGCTTATTTGCGCTGCACGAAATTTACGCGAATTAGTCTTCGGAGACACAGACATGGAAGCACAGCTTTCGGAGGCGTTTGGTGTAGATTGCTTATTATTGGTTGCACTAATAATAATATTGTATGAGACGTCATCAATTCTAAGCAGCACATTAATTTTTCAGCCTCGGCACCTCCAGCTGCTTGTATACCATAAAGTCCCTCGTAATTCACATGTTGGGGCAAAAACGGCACCAATTTTCAAAAAAAAAGGGTTGTAAAACAAATTTGCAGATCGAATGAAAATACTGTATAGTACATACGAAGACTCACTTATTTTCTTCGGAATAAAATTCAATTGAAATGCAATATTATTTCAGCCATTTTACTTTAAAAAACCAGGATAAAGCGGTTTCCTCTCTCTTGCACTTCGAATTGTCAGTTTGTACTCTAGAGTCTAGATAGTCTAGAAAATCTTGCTGTGAACCTATATACAGTATTTTCATCGATTTTTAATGAATTAAAATAATATTAATGTAAGACTGAAAAAGTTTCATGTGCACTGCTTCACATCTGCAATTTTATTTTCTGCTTCGAGTTCAGGTCCAGTGGAACTACTATCAGAAGCGAAGCTTTTCTATATATTATAGAAAAGCTTTCAATAGTGGGAAATCTTCGGAAATATTTGGAAGATAAACGATAAGCACGTGAACCAAATTCGTTAGCCCAAAAAATCTGCGTCTCATGTTTGCGCAAGTGAGAATTACCTTCGTTTCCCAACGGAAAAAAAAGATGAAGCCCGAAAATTTGTATCGAGAAAAATAACTTGGAATGTGCAACCGCAGCACATCTCCGTAACCCCTAAAATCACGTCAATGTTCTCGCGTAAATTCCCATGTATCCCCGGGAAAAAAAGAAAAATATTTACCGCTGGGGGTGGACCAGATGGAGTCCGGATTGACCATGGAATTGGCACCGGTCGCAGGCGCCCCGCCGAAAATTCCGAGCGCAGCGTTATTAGGCGGCATCGACGAATTCGCACCTGATGCCAAAATATCAGCAAAAGGGTTCCCACCCAATTGCAGAAGATCATCAGACGGTTTCGAAACCTGTGCACACAAAAAAAGAAAGAATACAAGCCATGATAACGATCGTTAAGACATTCCGAAATTAACTCTATTCGACGCATCAACGGAGAAATCAAAGCTGCTCATGTGCAGCCTCGTCGTGCCTCATACGGAAAATTCTTCAAAAAATTACGAATTACCTTCAATGAAGCAGCTTTTTTATTTTAAAAATTCAAAAACCAGAACTTTGAACTGGACGGCGGCAATTGTAGTAAAGAAAATCTCATTTCCGTCGTAAATCATGCCTGAAGATGTTTTCCGTGCCATTTGAAGTCTTTCATTTTTAAAAACGTTTTCAGTGACTTGACGAAGACTCCCAAAGTCACAAGTAGATTGGTTCAATTAGAGTTATCAAGAGAATTAGGCGAATAGCAATCTTGAAATGGGAAAGAATATTTTTTCGATAATTTTCAAAATTTACAAATTTAGAGACACTATAGAAAACAATTCTCAGCAAATAATTCATAAATAATTCACAATCCAACGAGAAGAAAAATTAGAAGTGTTTTTTCAAAACGAAAGCGGCTTCCAACAGAATCCTATTACCTCGGCCTCGACAAAAAATTATACATATTATACAAAGGCCGCCTTTCATAAAAAATAAAATAAAATCTCAGAAACTCTGGTTCATTTTTTTGAAAACTCTCAGCATCCAACACTTCGCAAAAGGAGCTGAATCATATTTTTTCATGACAATATAGGAAGGGCAAAAAGTACTTCGAAAATGCCTCCGGGGCTCAGAATGAACTCGGCCCCAAAATCCCGAAAATATTCACAGCATCCACGCTGAACTTACACCCCCCGCTCAAAAAAAAAAAAAATAATCGACATACTGGAGCAGGGGCCGGTGGGGCAGGAGCATCGAGAAGATCCAGAATGTCGTTCCCGGATGAAGGGGCCGCCGTGGCATGGGCAGCCAACGTCATCGGGACTAAAAATATTATTCCAGCGGTGAATTCAGAATCGTTGGAACATCACGAGTCCGCCCTCAAATAAGAGACAGTAACAAAAGCAAAAATGTGAAGTCGAAACACGAAATCAACAAAAGCGCTAAAATCGGCGAAGGATCAAATTGCCCTACGACAGGATACGCCTTCAAAACGAAAGAAGTAGTATTAGGTCAGGTCATTTCATGCTCAACTGACACCGGACCCGACAAGAGGGCATGCAAACGAAACAACACCCAGTTTTTCCTTACACAACAGAACCACGGTTTCCCCGCGTGAGTGTGTGTATGTGTTCCCCGGCAGCAGGAATCAAACGGATAAAAGAAGGGACGGTTAACAACGGGACTTACACAAAGTCACGGACTTTTAATTACACAAAAAAAACGGCATAACAGACGAAACGCATCATAGAAATATAATCAGTGTTCTGGCGAATTAGAGAAGTAGTCGAAGATTCCAGAAAACGGAAATCGTGGAATCTGAACGAGATTCTGCGGAATTCGGAGAACCGCGATTGCATAATACAGTACCGTTTTCATCCCTAATATCCCATTTAAGCTCACCCTCAGTGAAAAAAGCAAGACTTTCCTTCTTCATTGATTCTCAAGCTATAAATTCAGAAAAACAACAAAATTTTCACTAAAATCGTAATAAATTGAGACACGAAAGCTGGATTGCGATCCCGTCGGAAATATGTTATCTTTAACCTCCCCAGGAAATAAAAAAAAATCAATGCAATCCTCACGCATTTCTGAAATAGCACAATGAAAAATCGACCGTTTTGCCTAAAAGATGGAATTTTAAAAATCGCGCAAAACCAGAACAGCCTTTGTGCAATCCCGTCAGCCTCGTTACGAAAAAGCAGGCAACAAATTCCCACCAGGTTCCTTTATCAAATAAGCGTGCTAGTCACTCTGATGCAACAGACACCATAAAATTGGGATATCATTCAAGACAATAATTGCAGGCCTTTCAATGGCTAAAAAAGTGCGAAAGATTTTTCGGGTAAATGACGGAGTTTTTTTCCTCCAATAATAAAAAACACGAATAACGGTTGCTATAAAAATTTCATCTCAAGAGGTAAAAATGGCTTGAATTACCTGATCCACATTCCCAGGAATTTCGAAATTCTTAGCCAACACGCTCAAGCATTTTAACAATAAAAGTTGAACAGACGGACTTATTTTTTTCCTCGATGCGTCAAAATTAAAAAAAAAATTCTTCAGGAGGTGATTTCGCATCACAATATGTACAAGAACAATACAGACGCATAATTTGAGCATTCAAATACCATCTCCCATGACAAATGAATAAAAGCCAGCCTCTTGTTAGTCGACAAAGAAAACGTCCAACGACCCCTTTTTTTTTTGCTTCCATTAAAGGGCCTTTTTTAATATCAACTCACTCGACGCACTACTGCCTCCGAACGCTGCTGCAAATCCGGCTTCTGACGCAAACTGCGAGTTCATACCTGGACCCAGACCTATTTTTTCCCCACATATAAGGGGTTTTCGTTACCAGCAAGAAATGTAAATAAATTCCAATCCACAACCAAGGTTGCCCACACACGCTCACAGCAATAACTCACACAAGCCCGGGGCGAAAGGTCTAGATTCTCTAGAAACTCCACTACAAAGCCTGGCTTGGTTTGAAATTAACCAGAACATTTCCTTGATTTGTTTTTTTTTAATTGGCTTATTTGCGCGGAAATTTGCACGAAATTTACGCGAATTAGTCTTCGGAGACACAGACATGGAAGCACAGCTTTCGGAGGCGTTTCGTGTAGATTGCTTATTATTGGTTGCACTAATAATAATATTGTATGAGACGTCATCAATTCTAAGCAGCACATTAATTTTTCAGCCTCGGCACCTCCAGCTGCTTGTATACCATAAAGTCCCTCGTAATTCACATGTTGGGGCAAAAACGGCACCAATTTTCAAAAAAAAAGTGTTGTAAAACAAATTTGCAGATCGAATGAAAATACTGTATAGTACATACGAAGACTCACTTATTTTCTTCGAAATAAAATTCAATTGAAATGCAATATTATTTCAGCCATTTTACTTTAAAAAACCAGGATAAAGCGGTTTCCTCTCTCTTGCACTTCGAATTGTCAGTTTGTACTCTAGAGTCTAGATAGTCTAGAAAATCTTGCTGTGAACCTATATACAGTATTTTCATCGATTTTTAATGAATTAAAATAATATTAATGTAAGACTGAAAAAGTTTCATGTGCACTGCTTCACATCTGCAATTTTATTTTCTGCTTCGAGTTCAGGTCCAGTGGAACTACTATCAGAAGCGAAGCTTTTCTATATATTATAGAAAAGCTTTCAATAGTGGGAAATCTTCGGAAATATTTGGAAGATAAACGATAAGCACGTGAACCAAATTCGTTAGCCCAAAAAATCTGCGTCTCATGTTTGCGCAAGTGAGAATTACCTTCGTTTCCCAACGGAAAAAAAAGATGAAGCCCGAAAATTTGTATCGAGAAAAATAACTTGGAATGTGCAACCGCAGCACATCTCCGTAACCCCTAAAATCACGTCAATGTTCTCGCGTAAATTCCCATGTATCCCCGGGAAAAAAAGAAAAATATTTACCGCTGGGGGTGGACCAGATGGAGTCCGGATTGACCATGGAATTGGCACCGGTCGCAGGCGCCCCGCCGAAAATTCCGAGCGCAGCGTTATTAGGCGGCATCGACGAATTCGCACCTGATGCCAAAATATCAGCAAAAGGGTTCCCACCCAATTGCAGAAGATCATCAGACGGTTTCGAAACCTGTGCACACAAAAAAAGAAAGAATACAAGCCATGATAACGATCGTTAAGACATTCCGAAATTAACTCTATTCGACGCATCAACGGAGAAATCAAAGCTGCTCATGTGCAGCCTCGTCGTGCCTCATACGGAAAATTCTTCAAAAAATTACGAATTACCTTCAATGAAGCAGCTTTTTTATTTTAAAAATTCAAAAACCAGAACTTTGAACTGGACGGCGGCAATTGTAGTAAAAGAAAATCTTATTTCCGTCGTAAATCATGCCTGAAGATGTTTTCCGTGCCATTTGAAGTCTTTCATTTTTAAAAACGTTTTCAGTGACTTGACGAAGACTCCCAAAGTCCCAAGTAGATTGGTTCAATTAGAGTTATCAAGAGAATTAGGCGAATAGCAATCTTGAAATGGGAAAGAATATTTTTTCGATTATTTTCAAAATTTACAAATTTAGAGACACTATAGAAGACAATTCTCAGCAAATAATTCATAAATAATTCACAATCCAACGAGAAGAAAAATGACAAGTGTTTTTTCAAAACGAAAGCGGCTTCAAACAGAATCCTATTACCTCGGCCTCGACAAAAAATTATACATATTGTACAAAGGCCGCCTTTCATAAAAAATAAAATAAAATCTCAGAAACTCCGGTTCATTTTTTTTTAAAACTCTCAGCATACAACACTTCTCAAAAGGAGCTGAATCATATTTTTTCATGAAAAATAGGAAGAACAAGAAGTACTTCGAAAATGCATCCGGGGCTCAGAATGAACTCGGCCCCAAAATCCCGAAAATATTCACAGCATCCACGCTGAACTTACACCCCCCGCTCAAAAAAAAAATAATAATCGACATACTGGAGCAGGGGCCGGTGGGGCAGGAGCATCGAGAAGATCCAGAATGTCGTTCCCGGATGAAGGGGCCGCCGTGGCATGGGCAGCCAACGTCATCGGGCTCGACTCAGCCGTGGGAGAAGCCAGGAAGGGATTCGTGTGCTTCGCTTCGTGACGCTCCTGTTAATCACGTTTATTAGCTCAATCGCACGACTTTGGGAGGAGGAAAAAAAAATATTCTATCTATACTTTTTCATCCATCCGCCTTTTCTCATTCGTCACTTCTCTCAATTAATTTTTCCGCAAAAAAGGCCCGACGCCGGAAGAGACATAATCCGGAAAATAAATGTATTTTGGGCCCCAGATACTGTTCAGAATCTCATGACAAGCGTAAACCAAAGCAGGAAGGAATCTCGATTGACAAAATGCATCGGTTAGTAACCGTTTCCCTTTGCAACATTAAAACCCATTAGAATGTTTCTTTTCGAATGCCGAATTTGAAAACGCCAGAAAGCATTCTCAATTTTAATTTAGATGGTAGTCAAAATAGGGGAACACCCTAATGATAGATAAAATCATAATGATTACAATTACAACGGATCTCGTTACATTGATTCCTCGCTGCAGATCATAACTTCTGAGTTTGTGCGATACGATAATATCAATCATTGAACATTAACCGACCTCGAAAGAAAAGCCGAATTTGAAGTGGATATACAGAAATCTAAATATTTGAAGGTGATACAGTATTTTTTTAAACATCAGTCAACTTTTTATTTATAGATTCAACATCCGCGTAAAAACTGAAAAATCCAGGATTAATCCCTTACCTTGATTGCCGCCAGGGCCGCCTCTTCTTCCGCCAACGCTTTCAGTCGCAGGGTTTCATCGTCCGTCGAGCCGCCATTCACGGCACTAGCACTGATAAACAAATCCAAGCCCGACTTGACAATGTCAACTAGATCTGTTTCGAAAGAATGGCTGGAGGCAAGCGAAAACCCCAGTAGCACAAACAAAATCCCGGACAACAAACGCCACCACAGGCAAAGCAAGAAACATTCACATCAATAACGAGGAAAATGTTTGTCTACCTCATCCACCAGATACTCGAATTGGGCCGAAACTACCTGCAGAACATATATCCCACAGAAATGTTCTACACTAATTGTCAGATCACGTCTACGAAAATTACGGAAAGTTGTCCGCTTCAAGCAGTGCTGGTTTCAATTTTCAATTTTCAAGTTTCAATTTTTCGAAGGTCAATAAGAAAGAGCAAATCACATCGATAAACTTCCCCAAATGAGTTGTTCAGAAAATAAGAAAAAGCTCAATAAATCCACTGGTTGCGCAAAAAAGTAAGAACAATAATTTTTTTTATTCACTGGGTCAGCAAAAACAAGCACTGTTCTTTTTGGACTCATTTAACAGAGATTAGATGTTAACTGCATCATTTTAAAATCTTAATGTAACTTGATTAACGAGATAATAGACGAAAAAAACAAATACTGTACTTCAGCAAGTTTCGAGCACATGATTATGCCATATGTGTCTTGAGAAAAGTGAGTCATAAAAGGAAAAAAAAAGTCGACGACGTCTGCAAAACAAACAAAATAGGCGTTCGACATTCGAAAAAGGATGATTGTAGGACTTTTCGAAGTGAATTCCTAAGTGATTCATTCACTACAAATATAAATGAAAAAAGGCGGTTTTCTCAGGTTCGATCTTCCAGACATCTCTCACGTTTTGACAGGGGCGAATCATTACATTGAAGACTTCATTTATTTATTTGCATGCTCCAGAGACGAAGAACACCATTAGAAAAGTCTAAAATTTGCATGTTTTTCCAAGTAAAGAGTACCTGCGTTTGGCTTAAAAACACCAGGATTTTCTCAGTCTCAACTAAAATTCGACAAATTGTCATTGTCTAAGAATCCCCGAAATATTCACTTTCCGAAAATCTGCTTCATCGTAATGCACTATCATTACAGTACATGGACTTTTAATTGGCTTTCTTTCACCATAATTAATCAGAGCAAAACGTCGTCTGATCAAAATTGAGATTCAAGCTTCAAACGTGACTAGGCTTTCAATATTTTCAACAGCCGAACACCGGTCTAAAACTAAAGTGTGAGGACGCCAATCTGTGAAAATTGCTATTAAATATTCCCATGTGCATGAATACGTGAAAAAGAAGTTTTTGTAATGAACATTCCATCTATCAAATTGAAATACTGCTGGAGGTTAAAAAAAAAAAAAAATGCAGTCGATAGCATTTTTCTGAAGAATTTCTACATGTAAAAAAAAAACTAAGTGTTATATCCTGTGATGAAAATCTCACCCATTTGCTTGAGGAACATATTTCCTGCCTTCCAAACTTGCCAAATGAGATTCGAGCGCGTCCAACAAGCTACTCGGGGCCTGAAATCAACAAGACAGTTTATATTTCACTGATCCATTAAATGCAAAAACAGATCAGAAACCGTGAGCTAAAAGAAGCTAGGCAGCCTGAAGGCTCGGAAATACAGAAAACGAAAAAAACCAAAACACGACGCATTACCTTGGACAAATCAGGAATATCAGCTTTATCCACGCCGACGTTCTACAAAAACGAAACGAAAGCGGGAAGCGGAAAAATGCAAGAAAAGGGAGAAAAAAAAAAAAAGCAGGAAGAAAAGAGAGATAGGGAAAGCAATAGCACATCATTTCGGTTCTCACCTTGACCAGGTCAGGAATTTCACTCCTATCTAGGCCGACTTTCTGCTCAGCATCAATTGCAAGAAATTCGAAGTTTAAAACAAAAACCTCATAAAATTTTAAATTATTCAAAAACGCGTACCTCAGCTGTCTTCAAAAACTCCGACACGCGATCCATACGAATCAAGAACTTCTTGTAGAGATCCAGAGCATCACGACATTGCTTCTTGTTCATCTCGAAGTATTCCTCGAGCAAGTTAATGATACCGTCATTGTAACACGCGAAAATGCGAATTAAATCGCGGAAAAGTAACATGAATGCCGTATTAATGACTCCGTTAGTCAATTCAGAAGCAGAGCAGTCGAATTCGAGCAACGAATCGAGTTGGTTCTGCAGCACAGGTAAGGTTTTCAACAGTTTCTCTGTGGGCATCGTCCTCAATGTGCCATCTTCTTTCCTGTTCAAAAATCACATACAATACGAACTATTTCAGCTTCCATGAAAAAAGGGGACCAAATGAATAAATTTAAATTTTTACGCAAAAATGCCTACAAGGACCAGATTATCTTGCGAAGAAGCCTAGCAAAATTTTCTGCATTGTACAAAAAAAACCAACACGATTTCTGCGCTATTTTTTCCTATTAGAAGACCAATACGCTCGGAAAAAAGCCCACTTTTCGAGATTAATGGAATACATTTTCTTGCCTGAAATATCAAGTCGCGCCACAAAACTGAAGCAAGTTCAATTGACTTACATTTAAAGCAAAACTTTGCCGTGGCTGAAGATGCGTGTACAATATAAGAAGAACATCGATTAAGTTTGCTGGCAAATTTAAGAACAACGGAAATTAACCGCAGATTCACGAGTCTAAGTTCGAGAAGAAAAATTGTGCGTCTCATTCTGGCGAAAATTAAGATACATATAGTACTATATATTCGATGTTCTTCAGGGAATTGTGAAAATGACAGAAAAACTCACCCGCGCTTCACTTTACAGAAGTCGAACGCAACTGTTCTGTAGGACAACGCCTTTTCATTCAAATACTTGGCGTACCGGCGAATGTACGTAGACATGTCGTAGCCTGCGAAAGTTTCAATCAACAATAATGTACGCAATCGCTACCGCAACCTACCAACATAAACTACGAGACGACACAACCTAAATACCAGATTATTTCAAAACCGAACCACTCAAAACAACGAAAATAACGCAAAACAAAAATAATACGTCCGCAAGCATTCCCAGCTAAAAAAAGATCATATGAACTGACTTACTCAAATTCGGTCCCGCGATTCCTGTCGAATTCAGAACATGCAGGAAAGTTTTTAATAGGAGAATCAATGTAAAATTTCAAAAAGTTATTACAACTATTTCATGCAAGCATGCTGAGTTCAGGATTTCTCCGAGAAAAACTCTCACCGGTGGCCTGACCCCCAGCTTTTACACATAGCAGCGTTAAAATACTGATTGTCACACAAAACGAGAAATCTAACAGATTCGAGTTTTGATACTTACCAGCAGTTCCTGTCTTGTCCAGGAAATTTGACAGCTGGAAAGTGCAGTTGCTCGAAGCAAGATATTGCGTGAAACGCTGGAAATAACCGTTAAGAAGCATAAATGAAAGAAACAGACATTTCTCAACTCACATATAACACATTTTTCATAATACAAAAGGTATTTCGATATAACTTATTTTTGAAATAAAGCAGAACAGTTGAAATGATTCCCTCCAGTATCTTCTCAATGAGGATATTCAAACTCAAGAACTCGCCAATGAGGAATTTTACTACTGCACTTGGTATTTCATCATATTGGACATTCATGTTGAAAACCTTCCGGATGACGTACGCTAAAAACCTGAACCTTTAACTATGAAGAGAATGAGTGGATGATTGAAACGCAACTGCATAACGCTGAATCCCTTATTTTTAATAAAAATGTGCCAAGATACCTTAATAACTTAGCTGGGCACTAGAAAGATAATCACAAATACTGTAGAACCGACTCACACGACTTCATCGTATCAATATTTCTCAACCACACGAGAGATAGGTATCTATTTATTGCTTCCAACAGATGAATCTGATAAATTTAGGAAGAGCAGAACAATTATTTTTACATTCAGAAAGGGCAACAAGAGAAAGCCGTACAATGACAGAGGATTTGTAAGAGTCCCACAAAGTATGTCATCCCTAACTTCAGGTAAACTCGGTACAAGTGCCACAAAGAACATACCTCATTTCCGTAGCACATCAAGTGATGAACAGTAATGAGTGCCTTGAACACGACAACCCAACTGGCGTTCGTAGTCCGCTCGATCAGAAGATTCGCCATTTGTGGTATGGATACGTTCGGCTCATTCGTACACGCCAGTAGATCTGCGAATAGCACAAACCGTAGACTAAAAAGCATACACTGAAGTAAGTGAAGCACTCACAATCAAGATGCTTCTTCTTAGGACCGATTATCTCTTCTGTGGTTGCCTTGCACACCGACTTCGCGAGGCCTTGCCCAGCAAGGCTGTGCTTCGCCGCAGTAAGGCGGTCGGTTAAAGTCTGTCCAGACATCATCTTGAATCCGAAAAGTTTACCACACTTGATACAACTCGACCGAAAGTCACCTGAGCGCGGTTTCCCCGGCTGGCGCGCGAGTTGATCAGACGGCTGTGGTCCTTTAAAGAAAACACTGCTGATTCAAGCAGGATATCCTCAACGCATACGGAAGCACGAGCAATAGGTTTCTTCCAAGCGCCCGAACATGCACGGCATCTTACATCATACACTCGACATCCAATACACTTGACGAGGACGCAAACCAGACGAAGTAATCACCAAGATCACCTTGAGGAATGCTCAACGCACACGCGAGTGGCTTCAGGGCTACTTTTAGCATTTGCCGAGATTTTGTGGGGACTCATCTGAGTAGCAGAAGCAGACTGTTCACAGATGACGCCACTTGAGCAACGACATCTATCGTCGTTCCTTCAAGCCAGGACAATGCTACGGTGACTCGATTCCAACTTCGATTTGTTGTGGTTTCAGCCGGCAGATGAAATAATTACGTGCAGGCACGACATATAAGCCTCAAGAAATTCATGCAATTAATTTCTCGCGGAATTAATTCTGAATTTTTCTAAAATTATGCGATCACCATACTTCTTCAGTCAAAATTTGCAAATGCATTCAAACTTCCACTCCTTCAAAATGTTTCT